CGGCTGGGTTGGCTAAGTGTTGGGGCAGCACTGGGGGTCTCTGACTCAGGGCTGTTCTGGACTGTTATTAATCTTTACTAGCAGGGAGGGAATGAGCTTGTAAAACTAGGGGTGAGGCTGAGCTTAGGGTGTTTGTCTGCTCAGACCTGGTGAGTTTTCCTTCCCAGGTGTGCCAGACTGGGGGGGTGACATGAGCAGGCTGACAGGAGATCCCTGCCCCTCTCCCTGCAGTGGTCTGTGGCATGAGGGGATTCTTGTCACCCCCTGGCCCCTGTGTCCCCAGGTTAGCCTCTGCTGTGGGAACGCACTGGGCTCTGCAGGTGAGTGATGAGCCCAGGGGGCTCTCAGGCTGCAGAGGGGAGAGCACAAAGCCCAAACCACTCAGCAGCGGGGCAGTCATGGTGGGAGACCTGTCTCCTGTGCTCCCTGGGGACCATTTTGGGCCTGGGCACAAAGAGAGAGGTGCAGCGCTGCTGTGGCCACAGCATTTGTTCCCCAGAAAGGTGTTGGCCAGGGCAGCCACAGGGAGCCAGAGTGTGGGGGACCGTTCGGAAGGGACTCCTCTGTGCACCTGGCTTGGCCACAGCCCCGGGGGAAGGACACGGTTTTGAGGTGTCACTCCGCATGATCCGCGCGGGGCTGGCTTGAGCTCAGGCTTTGGCTGGGGAGAAGGAGCCAGGCATGGGCTCTGTGGCTTTACACAGAGTAAAAGTGATGGCAAAGAAAGAAGCAAAAGGAGCGAGGGCAATGCCTGGCGCTCACCTCTCCCGCGTCCTTATTCCGTGGGGTGGTCCCTGCATGGGAAAGAAGCCTGGGGCAAGGGGCATGAACAAGCGCTATGATTTTTTGCTGAAGCTGCGCTGGCGGGAGCCCTCCCAGTGCTGTGGCCCTTCGTTGTACACCTCTATACCCAGAGAAAGACTTGAATCGCACAGTGCCGTGGCCTGGGTGCGCAGCCTAGTGTCAGTCTCCCACTGGAAGCGCTGAAGTTGACTCCGAAATATTCTTGGGAAGTGAAGGAAGGCTGCGTTTGGTGCTTGCTTGCTTTCCTGAACGTTTTTACAGTGACAAGTGTCCTGGCACTTGGGCGGGAGAAGCTTCAGCTCCTTCAAGGAGCAGGCGCAGGTACTGGATCGCCGTGTCTCCCTCGGCTGCATCCCACGGTTGTGAGTTTGACTTTTAACGTCCAGCCTGCGCTAGACAGGCACGGCTAGAAGCAAACTGCAGGGTGGGATTACATCTTCTCCTACTGCTGCTGCCTTGGGCAGCGACCTTCTCACCTGCCAGTCCTCTGCGGGCAGGGAGGGATGGCTTTTCTCTGAGCAAGTGCATGGTTTTGGCCTGAATCAGTCAGTTCTGGCTCAAAACCCCACATGAGGTCACTTTGCTCCTTCACCTGTGCCAGCTAAGAGACCTCCGAGTCTGTTCAGGTTGAGCCAGCACCAAGTAAGCTGTCTTCCTGTTTCTCCTGGGGCAGCTCATCCTGTTTGTGCCTTGGAGGTTTGGTCTGAGCTTTGGGCTTGCAAACAGCCCCTTGGTGAGCACTGGAACGCAGGGCAAGGGGAGGCTGGAAGGGGATGGCTCCCTTTGAGCCCCCTTCCCAGCCAGGAGTCAGAGCTTGTTGCTCTCCTTTTCCTTGGAGTAACCAGCCCTCTTGCCAGGCTGATGCGAGTTTGGCTGCCAGAGCACAACCCAAGAAACGATTTCAGAACGGCTCCCAGGAACTCGGGCTTTCTCCTGGGGTGTGTTTAACGTGGCAGTGTGACTTTTGAAATGGCTGCTGGCTGGTTTTGTTGGTAACTAGAACAACTTGGTGTAGGGCGCGGGGGGCATCTGGTGTCGAGAGAAGGAGGGACAGTAATAAGTGCCCCAAATGCGCGATGCTTCTCCTCTCCTCCCCTGGCTTCTTAGGCGGAGCTTGGCAGCTTGATGACCCGTTCGGTTTGCTTTTTATCTTTCAGGCATTCAAAGTCTTTGAGCGTATGGCCCGGCAGGATGACGAGAAGAGGCGCCAAGAGCTGGAGGCGAAGCTAAGGAAGAAGGAGGAGGAGGAGGAGGCTGCTGCAGCTGCCGAGAGGGTAAAACTGTCCCCTGCAGCTCAGGAGGTAGAGGTAGAGACAACAGAGCACGTCCCAGCGCCGGATGCCGGGGGAGCTGCAGGGACACAGGAGTCAGCTGTAGACCAGGCTGCAGCCCCCAGTCCTGTGTCGGCCGAGCCCCTGGGGGCCACCGCCCCAGCAGAGCCTTGGCCAGCAGAACTGCTCACGTAAGGGTCTTTTACTTTCTTCGTGCTCCTGGCAGGGGGGAGGCATAAACACGGAGGTGGTGTTCACTGTCCTGCTGTGCAGCCCTTTTTGGGGGGTGACCCTCCTGTGTGGGCACTCAGCCCTTCGGGAGGCTCTGAGGATTTCCCTTGTGGACTCTTGTGGCCAGAGATGTTGTGTAATTCCCTTGGGAAGACAGGAGTTTGTTCTCCTATGGGTGATTTGATGTGTCACCCCCTGCTCTGAGCAGGGAAAGTGGCACTTCCCTGTACACAGCCCTACAGAGCTGGGCTGGGCTGTGCAGCTCCTCCTCCTCTTTTCTGGCACTCGCCATAGCGCAGCTGGGCTGATGGTCCTGTCTGTCGCAGCTCTTGGAAACCCTGGCACCATCCTGTAACTCTTTTCTCATGGAAATTCAGTGTCAGACTCCCCTGTCGTGCTGCAAGACATCCCAGCAGCCGACTAGGAGCTTGCACAGATACCCACAATACCTGCAAGGCAGTGCAGGCAGGCCTGGCTGTGTGGCAAGCAGCGAGGCCAGCTGCGGCATCAAATACAAGCAGCAAAAAATAGGTTCAGAGACCTCTGGAGGTCTCTGGCCCAACCCTTTGCTCATGAGCAGGGCTAAATCTGAAGATCAGTCAAGTGCTGTGAAGAATTTTCTCTTTAGCTGCATTCTTTCACCAGACTCAGTTGCTTTCAAGCAGGGCTAAGCAGCCTTGGTTTTTACAAAAATATCCTTGATTCAAAGTCCTTCCAGGGTGCCTGTGACTCTTCCAGCTCAACTTTGTCTGCTGAGCAGCAGGAGGTGAGCTCCAGCGGGCTGACATGGCCTTTATGAACCTCTTACCTGAGCGTGGGGTCCTCTGCAGGGTTTGCTCGGCCTTCCCTGGGCATCGCCTTGACCCTCGAGCCGAGGCAAAGCTGCCCAGTGCTCGCTCAGGGCCTCACATGCTATTGAATTTCAACCTCCTGTGTCTCCTCGCTGCCAGAGTCAGTGCTTTGGCTTGCCTGGGCGAGCGATGCCGCGAGCAGGCCATGGCAGATCGCCGTCTCATCCTTGCTTCCCCGGTGTGTCTCGTGGTCTGAGCTCCATGTGATAGTTGCGCCGACCCCCACCCACTCACCGCTGCTTTCCTGGTCATACGTGGGGCTTTGCTGTGATCTGTCCCAGCTTGGGCTGGTGTTCTCTGTCCTCTGGGGCAGTTTTTGACACATCAGCGATGACAGTAAGCCACCGGAGAGAAGTGGGCTTTGCTGGGAGAACCTCAAGTCCTGGAAGGACTGGGATGGCTGATGCCCCTGAGGGGCAAAGAGGATTTGGAGCCCACACTTCTGGGGCTGTTGGCCCTCGGCATGTGGGAGGCACGGTCTGACGACCAAAATCTTGGGGGCAGTGGAACACTAAGTGGCAGGATTGTGGCGGAGTCAGAGCCTGCAGCCTTGGCTCAAGAGAGAAGGGCCCGAGCGTGGCAGCCGTCGGGTGGAAGGGGAAGGGTACGGGCTGTGCCTGGGCAAAGTGCCTGCCAAGTAACTCAATACAGTGGGGAGGAGGAGAAGGATTTGTGCTTAACTCGACCGCTCTGACACACATCCTTCAGGATAAAAATAAGCTAGAAGCCAAAAATGAAATCACCTGAAAAGCCATATTCTGCTGCCTATGCTGGAGCTGTCCTGTGAAAGAAAGATTGTCCCCAGGGCTGTCGGTCTGACACCTCTCCCAGTGCAAACTTAATGAGCCAAAAAAAGCCCTGTTGGAGCAGGCAGGTCTCCGTGGCCAGGCTGTACGGCCATGGTGCTGATCTGTGTGTTTCCAGCCCAGCTTGATCCTAAACAGAAAGGAGAGGAACAAACTGGAGCTTGCTGCGAAGCCGTGAGCAGGAGGGAGCTGGGGCTGGCCCGAGCGCTGGCTGCTTGTGCCTCCTTGCAAGTCTACATTTGTTGCTTTCTGCCACATGAAATTTCGACTTGGACCTTTTGTTGTGGGGGCAGCAGCTGTTGTGAGTGGTATTTAGCTGCCTGAAAACAGATGTCAAGGCTGCAGGAAGGAACCTGGGGGAATTAGTAAGGAAGCTGAGGGCCGGTGTGGGAGCAGGACGTGTCTGATGGTGAGCGTGTTGGAGCTGACGGGGACGGTTTCCGCTGCGGGTGGTGAGAGCCCAGTGAAAGCTCAGCCCTTGCCCTTGCATCCTCCACCCTTCGAGTGTCTGTGCTGGCACAGCCAGAGAGTGGCCTCTGACAGACTTCAGACGCTCGGATGCTGTTTTGCAGCCTGCAGATGTGGCATCAAATGCAAAGCCCTGCGTGGCAGCTCTCCCCCCGGTCTAGCCGTGAAAAGAAGGTGCCTTCAGCTGAATACAGGTACCCCTGCAGTTTCTGCCTTGCCTGACCGACTTTTCTCCCTTTCCTCTTCTTGCCTACCCCAAACCTACTGGTGGCGTAAAACACTCACAGCCGCCTCGGTGCCTGCCCAGTTTGGGTGCGTGGTGGGTGAGACCGAGCGCAGGAAGGACCCGTCCGGCGAGGCTTGGCAGCCCAGTGGTTTCCAGGCCAGAAGAAGAGGGTGTCTGTGGGCTGTAAGTAGGGCAGAGCAGCGAACGGGTTTGTCAAACGGCTGTAGTTGGTTTCTGTGCCTCTGGAGGGCACTGGAGCCCCCCCAAAAGGCAGCGGGGACCAGGAGCGGGTGTCCTGGGCACCCCGCGACAGACTATTAATAATTTAACCGGCTGCTTAATTCTGCGCAGCCCCTTCTGAGCAAAGCCCAGAGCCACCAGCCTGGTTACAAGGAGCGCATGAATAATGTGCGACTCTGGCAGCAAGAATGCAAAAAGGAGCTTAAACGAAAATATTTTCCATCTCCCTTCCTTTCCCCCGCCCCCCACCCTCCCCGCCGCCGGTGAGGAAAACTGCTGCCACCAAGATCTATATAAAAACTCGCTCATTCTGTCAACCTGACTGCTCCGTAAATGTAGGGCAGGTACCATCCCAGATCTGCCAGCTCCCATCAGAGCCTCGCTGTGCGCTTGGGTGCTGGGCAGCTGTCCGTGAG